AAAATAATTAAAACCTTTTCACAAATGAGTGACATATGAGCCAAACGGTGGTAAACCGATGGACTCGGGATGAAAATCTCCAAACGAGTCGATAATTAATGTAATCCTCTCTGAAATGGACTGAAAATCTCCATATTTTCTATCATTAATGAGCACCGTTTGCATACCGGCGCCCACGGCACCGGATATACCGGACAGGGAGTCCTCAAACACCACGACATTAGCCATACTTTTAGGTGGTTTTGGGAACCGTTTGGCGCAAACCATATAGAGATCGGGTTTCGGTTTATTGAATATGACTTCCGGATCATCCGATCCGCAGACTGAATGTGCGAAGAATTTGTCGAAATATGTGCCAAACTTTTGCCCGAAGAGGTCAAACTCGCGCCGGTAGCCACTGCTCACGATAGCCATGGGTATGTCGTTGTAGTGCAGGTGTTTGACCAGTCGGTCGGCGCCGGCACTCAGTTTTAGGCCCTTATATAGTATGAGTCGAAGTAATTGTTTGATGCAATCGTTTCGCACGGAATCCGAGTATACATGTATTGAATCAAAGAATTTGTAAAATAAGTCTTTCAATGAATCCATTTCACGGATATAGCCTTAAAAGTGACAAAATATTTGTTAGATTAATGTTATGTCAATAGAAACGTCTATTTATTAGATTTTTTAGATCACTTTTAATGTCATCAGTCGTGTGTTTGCCGTTACTTTTAGCCCAATCACTCAATAGATCAGCTATAAGATCCATGTCCACTAGAGTACCACCCATGTCAAATATCGCATGAGTTATCCTGGCCATATTCTGGAGGTTGTCACAGTTGGGAATAATATTTTTCACTAATATAGTAATAGTAATAAGTAAGCAAACATTTATTCACAATAAGTGTATTATTTGAATACATGAATTACAAACACAACTATTCTGTAGTATTAGTGGAAAAATAATGTCTAAAATATAAAAGTCATTGAATTTTGGAAATAAAATCCATAAAACTGTCTATAAATAAAACATCTGTTAAACTACTTGTACTCGCAATATATTAATTTATTATTAAAACATTAATTTTATAACACTTTATATATTTTCACTTTATGTAATTGTTTTCACATTTATTTTAAAATGTGATGTAAACACTTAGTATATCAACAAATTTATGTAGCATTTAATAAATAATTATATTTTAAAATTGAATTCACAAACATAAGTAAATATAAGTTTAGTTATATAAAAAATAATCGTTATATAAATAATTAAAATATATTTTGTGTGTTTGAATAGTAAAATAAATATTAATTTTATTATAAATACTAGACATATTTTCTATACAAATGTATAAAACGATTTTAAATTTACTATAAATTACTGAACAATTTATATGATATTTAAAAATAATCATAAAATTAGTTTTTTGTTTTAATACGATATTGGTTATCAAAATAAATTTTTACGTGAAATCTAAACTACAGTATAATTTTATGCAACATTTGATACTTATCTCCACAAAAAAAGATTAATAAATTATTTTCAAAAAGTTTTATCACAGTTTAAATACAATATTTTGTTTATGTGATTTAGTTTTTCCAAGTATTATGTAATGATTGGCACTGAAAATATAATATCAAATTTAAAACTTTGCAAAACAAATCACATAAAACTCTGTATATTATTATCATTAATATGTAATACAATACGATACTATAAAATATGATATAAATCTTACAAAAAATAATAATAATAAATATATCAAATAAAAATATCATTAATAATCAAATACACCATCAAATCTAATAAATTATCATAAAAATACACATTCAATAAAAATTAATACAAAATAATAAATACATAAAAACGTTTGACAAAAGTCATCAAATCTAGGGCTCAATTAAGCGTAAAAAATGACAATTCGTTTGAGTCTTTGGGTGACATTTGCTGCAAGACTTGCGGGGTTGAGGTGTCGTCCCCTATGAGGGCGTCCCTATAGGTGAATGTGTCGATGTCTGACGTGGGCTCCGGTAGTATAGTCTGCGCGAAGTCCATGGGTCGGGACAGTACGGACGTGGGATTGATTATGGGAGTGGGCGGTGCGATCCGGGGCACCGACAGCTGCTGCTTATGAGATGAATAGATTTTTGACGTACCGGCGCTCATGCCGGTGGACACCGATAGGGGCACTCGTTTGAGAGGCGGCGATGAGACGGTATGTGAGCTAAAACTCTGTGCCATTAGGTGTCTGTCCGTCTCGGACGGTATCAGCGCCGAGAGGTTCACCACTTTGGGCCCACTTTTCCACTCAGTTTTCGACAATTTTGTGCGATTTTTGTCGACTTTGTGTGACTTTTTCGTCAGCTTTTTATCAAACAGTTTTTGATTGACTTTTTTGTCCGCATTTTTATTCAGCGTCTGTTTGGCAGCGAAACTGGATTTCACGGATGGGTCGTCCGTTTTGAGGGGAAAACTACTTTTTGGCAAACTTTTAGCTACCGTTTCGCTCTGCTTTCCAATCGCCTCCGCCTTTCGCATAGCGTTTGACATTTCGTTGATCTTTGAGATGATCTCGAAGTACTGCTTATCATAAATCATGTCATTGTCTGTACTGCCGATGAATGGCAGAGACTTCCCAAACAATTCCCTATTAATTAAGCCATCGGTCGACGACTTCCGCCTAGTATTGGACGTCAGATACGCGGCGTTTGTCTTCATGTCCTCAATCATCGCCGTCTCCTTCGGCCTCCACATAGACCTCCAGATATCTGTGAACGATATGGTGGTGGCCGGGGGTCTCACATCGAAATCCTGTTTCCTGTTCGTAGTCAACAGCCCTCCCACTCCGTGTCTGACTATCGTGGGGTCCCATTGAGTGTCACCAATCACTTCCTCAAAGTTGCCAAACATTTTGCGCGGATATGTAAACAGTTTACGCGATTTCTCCACGTTTGAGACGATCAGTGACCGCACTTTCCCCACCCCGTCCCTAAACCTCAGAACCCAACTGTTGCTGTCGGCGCCGGTATCCCCGCCCAGGCGTTGCATATCAAAGCCGGCAAACAATTTGTCCAGGAGTTTGGGTTTGCCGCTAAGGGCACCGGTATTGGCGCCGGTATTCCAGTTGTTTAGCGACAGCTCGCATAGTATGTCGACGTCCGATATCTGAAACCCGTTTTTGTCGCCCCTTTGCGAGCATAGAGTGGTCTGACTTAGAGCTGATCCACATGTCATTAATGATAGCAAAAATAAAACTGTTTTTTGAGATAAAATATAAAACAAAAATTAAATATTTTTTATCCAAAATTCATTATAAATAATTGTAATCGTAATCATAAACTACTTTTATGGGACTTAAGAGGACATACCATTAGCAGTGAATATGTTCAGAGAAAATTAAAAATGATTTTTGTTTTACGACAATAAAAATAAATGTTATGATAATACGAAAAAAAGTAATGAATAATAAATACTAACAACAGGGGCTTAAGTGCCAACAAAAATAACAATTAAATATAATTTATGATAACATTTATTAAAAATTAATTATATTTTTACGAAACTTATATTTAAAGAAACTTTTTGTTTGTTAATTTTCTCTTGTTCATTTGAATAAGGCTTATGCTAAACAATAATTATGTAGCTTTTATAAGTTATTCACAAAGGGATAATCTCAATGCAAAACTAATCTCTGTCTATAATCGGATTATTAATAATTAAATCGGTTAACAATAATAGAGAAATTGTCAAATAAGTGTAAAAATCCCATTTAAATGTGAATTAAATTTCCTGAATTCATAATAACTTTTATTATAAATAAAGATAAATTTAAATAATAAATACTAATTTAAATACCGGTACATTTCAATAGCATAAATTTAAATTAATGCAACAACAACAAAAGTTGCTAGTTTCTATTATTTAGCCGTTTTTGTAAAACGCCCTCATACTAATTTCTTATAACATTTTAAAACATAAATTAACTTACATTTTATAAAAACAATTTTAACAGCAAATAATTAATTACCATTTTGTATAGTAATTATATAAATATTCAAACATCAGATATTTAAATGTGTGAACCGGTATTAAATTTAGCATTGAATGGAAATCCTATTTATAGATGTATATCCCAAACATAATATATTAGATATTAATTCATACGAATCCGTAATCTATTTCTTATATATTTATCTCAAAAGCCATCAAAACATATGAGACAACAGACGTATGACTGTAAATATTTAAATATATGCTAGCTGCATTAAAAACACATAATTAAATCCAGTAACTCGATGTATGCATTGATTAATTAGACGATTATTTCGCAAAACAGATTTATGTATAAAGTAATCAAAAATAGATAAGTTATGGCAATCTTTGCGATGATCTGATGACATGATTATATAAGTAGATTGTGACATAAATTAAATTCAAAACCTTAATTACCCTGGCCAATATGGCCCGACCCCTAAATACTGTTTTATGTTTGTAAATATTGAGATCGCATGTATGACCACATCATGTATTTAAATGAAATAACTTTTTTTAATGGTCCTAGTCATTAATGTATTGCAAATTCAATAAACAGCTAAACATTTAAGCAAAAATAAATGCATAATTATATATTGTCTTAAAGAGGTAATTATAGATCGGGCTATAAATGGATAATCATTTTATTTGTGTTAGTATTAAGTATTTAGAAACAATTATTAAATCAAATGTTTTTTATTATTGAATTGTTTTCTAACGTTAATAATCATTTGACACAAATTTTATATGAAAAACACCATTGAATGCGAACAGGATTTTGTAAAATTTAATTTTAATTTTTGTTGTATATATAAAACAATTGAATTGCTTTATATCTTGATGTATTAATTAGTTTCGTATTAATAGGAAATGAAGTCTCGAAAAAATATTGAAATAACTTATAAACATCCTTATGATACATAAAAATAAATTTATAATTCAATCAATAATTTTCTGACAAATTTTATTCAATAATATTCGTGAGAATAGTGTAAATCTATTCAACAAAAATAAACTAAAAATCATTTCAAAAATATTCATCTGATTTTTCAAATCATAAAATTGTATTCAAATAAATAAAACTATTTTTTCTGCTGTGAATACAAGTAGTAATTGAGTGAAAGAAATATCATTCTTATGTATAATCTTTGCAATCATTTCATAAGATATATAAGGATTCCTAGTTTTGATCGATATTTTCTAAACACAAAAATAAATCCTTTTATTTCTGAACCCAAAAAAAACTTGTAATTGACATGAAATTAAGCACTTTTTTCGGCTCACAAAAAGAGATCAAAAATAAATTTTCGCGAAAAATAAATTATTCGCAAACAAAATAACATATAACTTATAAATTGAAAACAAATAACTAATACTTTTTTAGTCGTACGAAAAAACTCGATACCTATCGAGGCGTTCACAAAAGTTTTTGATAGTTTTTTTGTGAATAAACTTTTTTGTCTCCAAAATATATATACTATAATCCGTAATAACAATACATTTATTACTCGCTGAAAAAAACGTTAAATTCAAGTTCAATTTCTCGCTTTGGTTTCAGTATTATGCTTACCCTTACCCTCCCTGTCCTCTCGAACTACTAGTTTACCGGAAATTTATTTGTCTTGTTTTCATTTGTGTGCACAAAAAACAGTTGATTACAATTATTTACACTTAGATTGATAATGAACAAAAGCAATTTGGCAAAAATTCATTAACTAGTTGAACATGTACAAATTGATAAATCAATATACCGGTACAAATAAACAATAAACTTCATAAATACAATTCACAAATATATTCACGACTATTGTATGCAAATTAATGCTAACTTAATATTTAAATTTCTCACTCAATACTTGATATATTCGCGGCAATTATAAATTAAAATGAGCCATCACAAACA